GACAATAGATGTCCAGTAGAATTACAGCATAGAGTGATTCTTCTATGATGTTGCCGATGACAAACGATTTTGACAAATTGGGAAATAAGACATTGCAAGTCAAAAAAAGAAACCAAAACTAAACAAAACAAAAACAACAAATCACTGATGATTAGAAAGCTTTTATATCCTCATGCAAACATTCCTGGGTGGGTTAAAATGCCAATTTACAATATATAACAGATAGTATGTTTGATGATAAATGTTGACTGAAATAATACCACATCAGTCCCATAACACATTTCGCTTTTAAGGGCAGGAGTGACTATAATTTCAGGACCCATAAAAGTTTTCATAGATTCTATTGCTATAGTCTCAYCATATGAAGGTCAAAGGTACAGTACATACCAGCCTGATTGTGCTCCTAACCACATGGTAGGGAGAACACTACTCATTCTTGCAACTCCATTTTCATCAAGCTTTGGCTCATAACGGTCATTATCTGCAGCAGATACATCAGTGATGGTAGGTGTGTCTGATGCTTGATGGTCATCCAATGGGTCTCTAGATGACTGTCTAGCACCTATGAGAAAGGTTAAAATTACAATTAGTAATGTTGTATCCAATGACTTAAATTACCTTAAAGCAGGAKGCTCCATGGTCAACAATACACCTTTTGCATATGGTCACACACTACTAAAGCCACTATTTTGGATGGCAAAATAGCCACTGTGATGTACAAAACAAAGAAAAGTTAAGCTTGACGGGCTGCATTCATTATTGTTGTTGAAGTTGTTTACACTGTACATTCGTTTGCAATCCGGTATGACAGATTTAGTACCACGTGACCATTTTGACCATTTCATGAAATGGCCTATTAACGCAGGAAATTTTCATGTATTTACTAGTAATAATTAGTGTTATTATTACAAAAACTTACAATTAACAAAGACCTCCACCTCTACTAGTAGAAAGTTCATTTTTGAAAATGTGTGAAAATTATGGAAGAACTGACTTTTGAATCAAGGATAATCAGGAACATTACAAACTGAACTAACTACTATAAAATCACATATTATACCTAGAGGGTCTGAGAAGTCCATACTTGTAGAAGAAAATACAGATTCTTTACTGGAATCAAGTAATGATTGACTTCCCTGTGAATCTAAGATTGAAAAATGAATAAATTGTAATAGTTACTATAACTAGCAACAATGTAAAACCCATTGTTACCTGTATATAAACTAGTTTCAGAGGAACCAATAACATTATAATCACTAGGTCTAGAGCCAGGCACAGCAGTAACACATAGCAGATGTGATGTACAGACAACAAAACAGTCCAAGATATTCTGAGGGTAGTTGGCATCAATTATTGTTACTTTGCTACATGAATGAGTACTACTTCCAATCCATGTCATTGATGCCCTTGCCTCCTTCATATCCACATCTACATCATCCTTAGAAGTGGTATTGGCATAGAATACACTGGCTCCCACTGCTGCACCTCCATCTGCTGTAACACCACCTGATAGGTCTACCCCTGCTGCACACCAGATCTAACAAGAAGGGGAATTGTTAGAATATCATAATATGCCATCACAATCAACAATTCTTGAGCAAGGAACATGGACTGGTTGGCTATTAAAATTAATATAAATGTAATTTTTTTTTTGTGGAAGTAGTTTTTTGAAGAGCCACTTTAAAAGTGCCCAGGTATAATTATGTACATAGTTCTTYCTTGGCATAAAAATTCTGATTTTGATCAAAACTTATTCAATTTCTAGGAGTTTTACCAGCCACAAAAAAAACTGTATTTGGTTTTTATTTGAGTTTGCTGTATGACAAAATCTCTCAAAATTGCCTACAAAAGGCCAAGATCGCCAACAGACAATAACAATCTACAAATACTCCAGAGAGTGAAAACAAATCAAAGTTGATTCATTCTTGAATTTCTTTAAGTTTAGCTAAGCCTGCAAAATCACTTTGAATCTGTATTCCATTATTATATGTGGTTCTTATGAAATATGCAAGATACAATTCAAAGAAGGATATTAATAGACTGAGTAATAGCGTCAGTATGAATCTCACAAAGACTAAACTAGGTTTTTCTAGTATTTAAAGTTTCTTAAGGTTACTGCTCCCCTTCACAGGATGCCACTGCAAATACCTAAGCATTAATATTATATATCATTTTTTAAGCTAACACAATAATTTAAACTTCTACGACATTTGTTTGTAATAATATTTAATAAGAAATTGATTACATGTTAATAATCTAGCAACTAATAACTTCAAAACGAAAATCTAAACCCAAAAACGCTTGCACGTTTTTTTACACCACTATGGCCCAAACAATATCCACTGAAAAAAATCGCGACCTAAACTTAATAATTTTTAATAAGTAATCTATTAATGAATTTGTCAAATCAACAACATAAACTTATTYTTCAGTCATTCAGTTTTAATATGATATGCAATGTGCAATAGTTCTTATGATACGAGACGCTAAATAATTTTTTAAATTGATAATTTGAAAACTCCAGTGAAGGGGAGCAGTAACCTTAATATTAAAAATATGACTTATTCTACTATTCTAGATGTCATCAAGTATGGGGTTTATTTACAAGATTGTTGACATCAAGTATGGGGGKTTATTTACAAAATTGTTGACAGTCACTAAAAATCAAAATGACAAAGAATTTTTACCTTCATTCCTGGATCATTAAGATTCAATGGCCTACAGTAGACAGGTACTGGTACAGATACCAGACTCTTTCCTCCTTCTGCAACCTCAGTAGAGTACTTGGCAGGTAAACTCCATCCATATGCCTGCATTCTTCCCTCAGAAAGATCTGCAATATTAGGATTTAAAGTATAACAATCAAAACATGATATCTAGAAAGAGGAAAGTTATTATCAAAAACAAGCATCTGCACATTGGCCAACTGATTATTTTGCAAAAGATAAAAACAATTTACTTTCAGGCATTTTGAGACTCACTTTTAGGAATAAGAAAAAAATGAAAACAGTATGACTTTTTGCTTTGATATTTTGCTAACAAGAAAAAGATGATGTTGTATTGGAAATACAGTAAAAATGTGGGAAAAGCAAGATATCATGTTACATAATTTTAATATTATTCTTTCAAACAGATATGAACCTATGTTATTACCTGTGTTCAGATAGGCCCTGACTTGTTTGTATCTTTCTCTTCGATCATTCACTCTCTGTCTATCAAAGCTGGTTTAACAAAATGATACAAATGTTATTCATCTAGTACGAATGGCATTACATTTACAGAAGAAATGTTAGCAAAACAACATTCACTGTATCTGTGAAATACATGTAGTGTAGCAAAAGAAATTATGCACATTTCTTTTGTCTTGTTTGACCTCAAGGCATTTCCCATATGCTGCTTCCTTAGTTTTGCTAAAACAGTCTCAATTTGTGAGTAATGATTTACACTGTAGTTTTAAATGCTAGGTTTAATATTAAGAAGGAATACTTTTAATGATAAAAAGCATAATTGAGCAAAAACATACTTTTCACTGCCAAAGCCTCCTGAAAGTGCTGACCCTGAGCCAGTGTTCAGTGATGATAAGGAATTACGGCGTCGCTGCGTTGGAGGAGTAGTTTCACCAGGAGAGTTGTATCGAATACTGACAGCGGTAGGATTAGGTCTCCTTGGCGATGGACCAAACAAGTTACTAAAGCTGTAGTGAGAATAATGAAGTTACATTTAGAATAGGAGATTCAATTGGCAAATAAATGCCAGCATAACATACTTCTATGCGATATTATTTACACCAATACTACATCAATAAAGAGTGCTACATGTACTTACAACTTCCAGATTGAAGACTTTCTCTTCTGCTGCAGTTCATAATTTCTTTCTTTTGAGGCCCTTACAATAAGAGAAGACATTAAGGTTACTATCAAAAACATGACTTCATTTTAGACACATTAAAGAAAAAGGAATAACTTTCAAGGTCTTTTAAAATGTTCCTCTGCCTGAATGGAAAGCAAACATTGCTGTTTTTCTAGCTTACTGGCATCATATCAAAAATGCTTAATGTGTAGTTACAATGGAAATGTTTATAATTTGGAGTACTGTCTTTTTAAAAAAATGTTCCTGTTTAATAGTTTAGACATGAGTTCATGAAAAATGATTTACCTGATCATTTCTGTCCACCTAACTGCTTCTTGTAATTCCATTAATCTTTCCTTGTATTGATTCCTCTCCATCAGCACTCTTGCCATTTCTACCCTTGTAAAACGTTTTCTGTGAGCTGCTGACACACTTGCCTTAAAATGACAAAATGGATGTACAAAATAATGTTATGTTGTAACATTTCTTAAATTTGTAATACTTTCATTCTCAAATGGATATTGATCACACTGAACATTGAAAAATGATTTTAAAATATACCTCCTTCAAAGCAACTGTAGCTTTCTCTGCCTCATGTTTTGTCCTAGAGCAAAAGGAATATAAAAACTGAAATTTCTTGACACTATTAATTATACTTGCATACAGTAATAATAACAATCATAATGTAATTAATCAACAAACCTAAAATTGCATTACCTTTTCAATTCATGTTCACTCTCAGTGAGCCTTGAGTTAAGATTTTGCTTTGTTTCTTTCATGGTGATAAGTTCCTCATTTAATATTTCTTTTTCGCTGCAATCAAATATTAGATCTTACAGTCAATTTTTCACAACTTTTGTCATGATTAGAAATTTTCAAAGTTCATACTGAAATTTACAAACTTTGTTGTCTAATAAAAGTAGTTTTGAACTTGAGAACTTTTAGGTTTTCTGGCTCATAAGTGGAGAATGCATGAGCAAAAGTTACTGAGCGCATATTGATTGCTGATGGCAATGATATTTATAAGTAATAGCATGGCTTCCTTGGGAGATTAGGGATTAAATGTCCCCAAAGCCGAGAGCAGATAAGTTTAAGTCCCGACGACCGCAGGCTGCAGGCCCGAGGCCAAGGGACATTTAATCCCTAATCTCCCGAGGAAGCCATGCTATTACTTGAATTTGAATTCTTGTTTTTTTTGCATGCTCCAGTGTTTTCAATCAGAAGTAATATAAACATGGCAACAAACAATTCATGCATGAAGTGGAATGTGACATGAAAAGAGTGGATATGCACTGTTCTAAGAGTATCAAGTACTTTATTGTGTCATTGAAAAGGTTTTCTAAGAACAACAGTACAAAATGATATTGGTAATGCGACCATTGTTACTGATTTCCCACCAGGAAMCTTTAAACAAGTGCTTTTCAGTTCTATTCAATGGTGAAGTTAACGAACCTTAACTTCAACCCCGAAAATTAGTTTTTACATTTTCAAGTATCATCCCACATTTCAGACGATAATGAGAGCCTTCATTGCAGAGTTAGAAAGAAGACAGCTGTAGGGATATTCAKTTGTGTTTCTTTGCCTTCCGTTCCTCATAAATAACATGAGGGACGATTAGTCTAATCTTCCCTCGTGTTAATATGCATGAGGGACGATTACTAGTAATCRTCCCTCATGCTATTCATGAGGGAGGGATGTTCGCTTGTAAACATCCCTCGGAAGACAAAARAAACCGAGGTGATCATGGTATTACTAAGATAGTCAAGACTGTAGTTTCTATTTAATAGATGAAGAATGAATGTTAACGGACCAGCAGCTAAATGSCTGTAAGTTTTTGTAATAACTTTCAGTTTCACTTTCTGCTCTAACAGGATACCTAAATATACTAACAATTACCTACCAGGGGCAGGTTGTCCAATGCTTGACAAGTACTAACCCTGAATTGACTCTCAGAAAAGATTATAGAGACAATTTTTAAATTTCAAAAAAAAATGAACACTAATCCAGCTTCAAACAACCTGGGCCTGGATACTAACACTACAGTGAGTTGATATAATAAAGTACTAATAATATTGAAATTAAAAATATTTGTACATACTTAGCAATCTCCTCTAGTCTTTTGAGTAAATCATTCTTCTGTGTTGCAAGCTTGTTCCTAGGGAAGATGATGAACAACTCAAAATAAGTATAAAATATGAATATTTGCAAATTGCCCACAGTTTTGAGTTGTCTTCTTTTTAAATACTAGAAGTTTATATTATGACATCAAGAGGACATACAATTAATTTTCTTTTCTCTTAATAACCACAAAAGGAAAAGATGGCTCTGGTCACCAAAGTTCATCAAGTTGACCTAATACTCACTTTGCAGCAACAAGCTCCTTATTTTCTGACATAACACTCTCCAATTCTTTGCTCATGGCTATTATATCTGCACCAGTATCCATCTCACCAATCTTGTCAGGCTCTTGACTAGACAGCTCAACAAACAAACTAGCTGGTATTCCCTCAGGAAGGTTCTCCAAGTCCAAAGAGACTGGTCGTTTTGCTGTGGTTTCAGGCTTATCATTCACTGCAATACTTGCCTGGCTGTTGTCCATAAGTTCTGGGGTGGACTGTAGGATCTCCAAGGCATCTTTACTCAGTTTAGAGTTGGGTGTTAACATGTTCTCAGCATCCTTGGAATTCATAATTGGTAGGTTATCAACATCACTTATACTACATGTACTGGTAACATGACCACTATCACTCCCAGCCTTCATGCCACTTGATGAACTTTCAGAGAATGTATTTACATTTTGAATGCTAGAATCAGCACCTTCAAAAGAAATAGGTGAAAAACATTCAATGGAGCTAAAGCACTTTTTTGCATTGGAGTTTCTCATCATGCATCCTATTATCATAACATCAATCAATGGTATATCATGTATATTTCAGCATATTCATAATTGTAATTGTGGTTCTTTGATAACTGTATCATCCCAAGACTTAATAGACTGTTTCAAAAAATGCTAATTGKTGTTAAGCTATTTGGAGTATTGCTAGTCAATTTATTGATAGTTAGCATTCACTATGGCACCAGGAAATGCTTTTTGTTGAACTTCTACCAAAGATGYCACTAAAAAAAATTAATTCTACATTTTCTTTTCAAAGTCAAATAAGAAACCAATTCAGCCAATCCAGTTTTTGCAAGCAAATAAAGGTACAAAAAACTTGCAGTAAGTTCATTCCCAGAAAGACATCTTCCTTGAGTATGTTGAAGTTCATGAAAGGCTATCCATACTATGGATAGTAGAAAAAAGTTCACTTGGATTGTACYCATATTAAGCAAAAAGATGTCATTGTTGGATCTAGTCTGAAAGTGTTATGCTGTCAAGCATTTCTTTAAAGATTAAAAATCAAGATTTGAATCTAATTCTTGAGATGTAATAGCCTGGAATATTGTCACAGGCTAGTGATGTAAAAGCATTCGAAAAATGAAATGCAAATGAAATGTTGACATTAACTAAGGAATATTGAGTGAGACATCATTGTTTATGTTAATTTGTATACCATATTTACCCGTGTATAAGCCACACTTTTTTCCAAAAAATTTGTTCCCAAATCRGGGGTGTGGCTTATCTACAAGAAGACTTGTAAAAATGCCTGATAAAAACTAATTTGCATAAATTAGCATTATCGGTTCTATTTACTGCAGACAGGACATCAGTASAGTTCTAATGTGATAAGTTTGTTTTACACGGAGGGAACAGAAATTTTAATCCAAACTTCTCAGTATTACTATAAATTCTCCGAAAATCTAGCTCTGAGAAACACATTGATCATTTAAGCGACTTTGTCACACTTAAAGTGAAGAATACAGGGTAAATATTTTGAACACCCAAGAAATAAGCCAAAGAAATTGTTCCTTATATTAAACAAATACAATCCGCTTTAATAATTTTTTGAAATACAAAACGGTTCGGCATGATCCTTATGTTTAGAAGTTTGGCGGCACAATGAGATTTATATCACTTAAGTTAATTACTAGTTTGCTTTTACCTTTTGAATGAAAA